TCCAATATTATTTCCTCAGAAATATAAAAATAAATCGATCCGAGAGTTATCGTCAAGAAAATAAATAATATTACAAAATGATCAAAGTAAAAAAACATTATATAGTAGTATATACAATTATTATTTCATTTATATTAGAATGAAAAAAAAAATATACAGAACAATAATTCAATTACAAAATTTCGTTACGTATTGCGACAAAATAGAGAATTGTCAAATCCAAAGTTCTATTAGTATGTATCTGAAAGATCAAGAATGATAATACACGGGGAAGATGTTTAAGTTAAAGACGAGGAATGTAGATACGAGGGACGACGATTCGAAGGAACAAACTGGTCCAAGTTAGAAAGGAAACATACATAAAGAGAAAGAGAAAGAGAGAGAATGGGAGAGAATAAATGGGTGAGAGGGAGGACAATTCGGTCGTGTTATTCAAGATATTCAAACTGTACCAACCCACATCGGGGTTTCCTCGGAGGTGGCATTTAAGGATTAAGGGAGTTTAGCATAATATTAGCAAGCAGTAGGGACAACACACACACATATATATATATATATATATATAATTCGTACACACACGTACGCAAACGTACACGCGATGAGAGGGGGTTAGAAATGTGTGTGGATCTGCCGTAGGAAAGAGAAAGAGATAGATATGGAGTGAAAGAGGGAGTAAGGTGGAATGGGTGGAGGGGGGGGGGTGGTTAGGTAGAAAGGTACAGGTATTATTCATGGATTACCTCACTTGTCTCGGCCACAATCCTCCCTAAGCCTCCATTAGAATAATTGCTTCTTCATCTTCGCGCTTACGCGGTTGCTGCGCTCGCTTTCGCGACGTAGAAACGATCCATCCAACCCTCAAACCAACCACCCCCTCCCACCCTTCATTCTCTACCTCATGTTCCACCTTCACCTCCACCCCTGCTCCTCCTCCTACCGTTCCACCTTCTCATCTTCTGAATCCTCGGCACATCGTCTCGTTGTTTCATTCAACCGCATCTCATGCCGCATGTGCATCGTGTCTCTCCTTTTCTCTCTTTCTCTCACATTCTTCCATTTATCTATCTTTATCTTACTCTTCTACTGTATGTATTGCCTTGTGGCATGTGTATGTGTATGATTCCATATGCATTCAGTAGTCTTTTCTTTCGCCTTAGGTACTTTCCAACCACCAAAGAGAACATTTCTAAAAGTACTGTATACTACCTTTTATATATAAACAATATATATGATTTAATCTATATTAGGATGAACTAAAAGTTCGTGGCATTTATTGTGTTGTTTCAGTATAGTGCAATGTTTTCTTTTTTTTTTTTGCAGTCAATAAAATTACTTTATATGCAAGCGAAATATTAATTAAAAAACCGCACGAATTTTTGTTACATTCTAATATTATATATATACTGGTACAAGATCATGATCATATACGATATTTAAATGGTATAATATAATAATCATTTATAATAATAAAATGTTCTCTATCACATCTCTTTGCAACTGTTTCTATAATTAAACATCGATCCACCGTGTCTTTATTCGTGTCTAATATAAATTAGACATCAAGTGGAGAGATTAGATTTACGAGAACAACGTCTTGAACAATAATATAAAAAAGAAAGGATAAAAATAAAAGGAAGAAGAAGGAGAAATAGAAAGGACTCTCATTCGCATTCAAAGATCAAACTCGGCGATCGCAAAGCAAGAAAGGGAAGGAAAAAAGAGGGGGCGGGGGAGAAGTACAAGGAATAGAAAGAGAAGAAGGTTAGAGAGAAGGATGATAGGGGGGAGGGAGAAAAAGGGTCTAAGAGTACTTGGTAGCAAATGTCGCGTGAAGTGCGATTTTCAGTAAGCGTACTTAGTAAAGGATCTCTTTCTTTCTTTCTCTTTCTCTCTCTCTCCCTCTCTCGAAGATTCGATAATTCTCGTTAGGCTCGTAGAATAAATTGCGTGATGGGTGTTGTATCGTATTCCTATAAAACAGCACTACTATCATCCTCCCTCCCTCTTTTTACCTCCTACATCCTTCCAACCTTTCCTACCACCCTCCTTCGGCATTCACTTTCTTCCTCTTTCTCTCATAGTAACTCTGTCGACCTTTGGAAGGCTCTTGTGCGAATATTTAGTTACCGTGGACCGTACTCGTTACCGTTTCATCTCCTTTCGCAATGTACGTGCGACGATTCCTTGAATCTTCCTCCTTCATCCTCATTCCCCTCTCTTCGAAGTATATTCCTTTCTCGCTGATCGACATCTCGAGCACGTTTCACCTGTAAAATGCAAAATGCGAGACGCCTCTCTTCTCTATCTCTCTCTCTGTCTTTGTCTCTGTCTATCTATCTTTCAGTTAGTCTTCGATACCAAGGTAAGAGAGACGGTCGTCTAGATCGACACTCGCGCTCGTTAACTCGAGTAGAAATAATATTACTTTATCTTCGAAAAGTTCGTCCCACGCGAACAACCCCAAGAGAACAACCCCCGTACTTCAATAATAGTAGTAGTATCAGTAATAGTAATAGTAGTAGTAGACAAGGCCAGAAGAAAGTTGCACGTTTCAAGGGGTTGACTTGTACCACTCACTCCCATTTCTTTTTTCTTTTTTTTCCTTTCATTCTTTCTTTCTTTCTCTCTCTCTCTCTCTCCCTCTCTCTTTCTCTCTCTTTCAATAGTCGTCGCTGATGGCGTCGAAAACTGTCGTTTCACTCGTCGGCCGGTCTTTCAAGGATCCCTAGAAATTATCAGACGGTGTGCTCGGCCGAGCAATGTACCTGCCTGCCACTGCTGCTGTTACTGTTGGTGCTCGCAAAAAAATTCTTTTTCAGAAAGAACATAGAGAGAGAGAGAAAAATGTTAACTACACAGTATGGTACTGTGCTCATGGTCGCCTTCGTCTATATATCTTCAAGCGTTACCGGTACTTCTTGTATTATTTGTTGTTAAGTGCATAAAAGCTTTTTTTTCGAGGACTTAATACAAGCTCTCCGGTAATAGCAGGGCGTTATTGTGTTCGCTTATAGAAAAAAAAGAAAGAAAGTTAAAAGAATGAGAAAGAGAGAGAGAGAGAGAGTGTACAGACTTACCCAAAGTGTCTCCTACTTTTCGGTACTACAGGAAAAACGCCTCCCCAACCACCTTTTATGGATTCTTTGTACCCGTGCGATTGCATACCACCCCCAAGATCACTACCCTTCTCTTCCTTCCTTCCTTCCTTCCTTCCTTCCTTTCTTTCTTTCTTTTCTTTTTCTTTTTATTTCGAACTTCCACAAGCCTTTCTATTATCGCCGTCTACTTCTCACTCTCCCATATTATTATTATTTATGCATCCCTCTCTATACTTCACGCCTATATTCGAAACATTATTTACAATGATACATTACTACTACTCGCATATACTTTGCGTTTGTTGTATAGTAGTTGTTTCTTTCTCTCTCTTTCTTCCTGGTTTTATTACCCACTCGTTAACCCCCTCGAACGAATGGCTCTGCTACCCTTTTCTCGTTTAGGGGTTGAACGCTGAACAATGATAAATGTACAAGGGACGAAAAATAAGAATACCATCGAACGTTGATCTCTCCTATCTCTCATTGTGATTCGAAAAAAAGTATGTAATTAAGAAAAAATAATAAAAATATTAAAATAAAAGAAAATATTGCAACACAGATTTGTGTACTCGTTTATATGTAAAAATGATTTTTATTTCAATTCATTTGTATTTTTTTTTTCTTTTTCCTGTTCTTTATATTTACATTGACGTACTAGTGCATAAATTACTGATCCATCTTTCTCTTTTTTTTTTTAATTAATTAATTAATTACAAATAAAGTAATAACTGAACGATATATTTTTTGCGATTCGTATGTGTTTTAATGGAAATTTCATTAATGATCTTTTAGATATATTTTTTCAATAACGAATTCCTACGTATTTAAATATTACTACTAATATTATAATACACTCGGTACAATTTCCTTCTACTCATTTAAATTGAATTTTGAAATATTCATATTAGACACATATTATATTTGATATATTATACGATATATTAATTTAACTTTTTTTATATGTATAAAGATATATATATTTGAGAAATTTATATAAGATATACAGGGAAACTGAGATTTTTCCGACCAAACGACGTATCTGCGATATTCTTTGTAAAAAAAATAGGAAAAAAATATTCTCTAAACATAAATCATTGAAAATTCTATTCAAAACTTATGATTTAAATTATAAATATTTAAACTTATTCGACAAAGGAATTGTCTTTAAATTTCTAGTCAATTACGTTTACCTTTTCTTACACTTTTCTATGAGGTTTACTATTTCGAAGTGCGGATATTCATTACGCGTATGAATTATGCGTCTAAAATACTCAGACTGCTGTAAAAGATTATCAAATACAGATTTTCTGGCAGAAGAGCATCGTTCAATGTTTTCGAATGAGCATTCGCAATTAGATGAAACAGATTCCTTTCGTTTTACGATGGTGTCAAACTTACATTCTGAACAAGAAATTAAATGATTTACAATATGTGCCATAACTTTTAAATAAAATTATGTTTCTATAAGGTTTTTTCTTATTTTCGTGTATAGAATGCACTAACATCGTTTAGCCGGAAAGATCTAGGGCACCCTGTATATATATATATTTTGTTTTGTTTTGTAATAACTACAAAAATTACTACAAAAATTGACAAATATATGTTATTTAATTTAATTTCAACGACGAATATATAATACTTACCTTTTTTTTACTCATATTTAGTAGTAATAATTCTTTTTTTTATATTCTATATCAACGAAACAAACTAGAAGAGAACTCAAAGTTTACAAATCATAATTACAAGTTATATTTAACATTATAACTGCTACACACGTAGATCATTTATTTTAATTAAGCAACTTGTTATTTTCGTCTTGTCTAATATGAATAGAGAGGGTAAGGGGCAGGGGGCAATGGGGTAAGGGAGGTATGGGGTATATATCCTACACAAAATGATGTATTTCTTATAAAAGTGCATTGATAGGATTCGCGGCCTACGGATTATACTGTAACCAAAGTTCTCATTATTTTTTTTTCTTTCTTTCTTTCTTTCTTTCTTTGTTTCTTTTTCTTTTCTTTTTTATGTATAGTATAAATTGTAAATCGATTAATGTTGTAGATGTTACATTTATTTAACTAAACCCATCTTTTTCGCTTCCACTTCGTAAATTAATAACCTCCACATTTTAACTACAAACACTTCCGCTTCTTCGTCTAATACCTATAAAGAAAAAAGACAAGAAGAAGAAAGAATACTCTGATAGATAGTTCTATAATAAAATTAAGTTTTTCTTTTATATAAAAAGTAAAATATTTATAGAAAAAGAGATTAATACGTACCATTTGTACGTCGTCGAGTATACCTTGCGGAGAACTACCAGCCATAACTTTGCTGCATATAAAATCAACCAACGTGGGTTCCGGTTCTCCAATGTATTCAATGATTTTTTTATTAATCCACGGTCTTATTCTTTTTTCCATTAATGTCTAAAAATAGATATAATTATTATTCTAATTTATTACATATTCCATGCATATATATGTTATATGTTAATAAATAAATTGTTTAATACTAACATTATCTATAACCGCCCAATCAAGTTGATATCCAAATAGGGCATTCTTATCAGTAGGAATTTTATCGATAAGAGATTTAATGTGTTTTCGTTTTTCTTCTTGGCTCTTTGTATTTTCTTCTTTGCCAGGCTTTGGAGTAGTCTCCTCGTTTGCCTTCTTCTTTTTCTCATCGCCATAATCTATGTATAGAGAATATAGAATATAGAATACATGTATACAGAATATAATTAATTGATTATATTACAGATAGATAATTTATTAAATTACAATATCACACATGCGTTTACCTAAAGGAACTAATTTCCGTTTCTTTGCATTATTAGTACCATCGTCATCATCGTCATTATTAAAAACATCCTTCACATCTATGCGTCCTTTTTTCCTAGTTTGATTAGTCTGTTGAGTATTTGTAATTACTGTTGTACCAGGACTAGCTGGTGTTTTATTACCAACATTATGTTCTCCTCGAGTGCCACCACTTCCCATAGCGAAAGGAACAAAATTACCTGAATAATAAAAATAAAGGATTAGATATTAACACATTATGTTTCTTAATAAATAATTATATCCACGTAATACAAAAGAAAAATATGACTGCTATTTATCAGATCAGTATTAATACACAATCAACAGTATTAAACCACAATCAACAACTACCCTACCCTGCTTAAAAAAAGTCTTTAAAATAAAATACTGATCAAATAAATATAAAAATATATAACAAACAAAAATTTCCATTAACAATAAACAACCTCTGCCACATATAAAACCTACTGCCGCTTGTTTTTTCCGGCTCACTGACAAGGGACATACGCGAGTCCTCGTCCAACGATGGTGGAATTGATTGAGCAGGTGTTCCAACCGATTGATGCATGGGTGATGCCCTAATATCTTTTTGACTCTCTTGATCAGGTTCAACAATAATTTCTTCATTTTCTTCTCCGTCGCGATGATGATTCTGATGGTGGCGATGATGTCGACGATGATGATGATGATGACGAGGTGGAGTTCTCGAAGGTATTTCTGGTTGAGAAGCATCATCGAATTGGACACCATCGTCGCTATCGCTTTCAATTGGCTCGGTTTCAATGGGCGGCATTACTTCCTTCTCTTTTTTCACAACCTTCTCGTCTTCCTCGTCAATTATTGTTATCACTGGTTTAGGTTTATATTGTTCCTCTCTCTCCGCTTTAAGCTATACAAATATTTTAAGATGGTAAAATGTTTTTGTAAAAAGCATACATGGTAAATTGAAACAGGATAATAGCTTTTAATTAACACGTTAAGCGGCAAGCCTCTTTTGTTGAACTTTCCGTTTAGACCACAATGATCTATCTACCAGAAAGCCATAAGAATATCGGCTGACCGATGCAGCCTGGATAAAAAATCTAAAGCCATGATGTGTTTTACGTGTTAATTAAATCTTACAAAATTTGGTGTAGAGTAATCAACAGTAATGAAAAAAATACCCTTTCAAATTCAGCAGCAGGATCAGGATGCGAAGCGTCAGCATAAAGTTTATCACGAAGTCGTTGCAATTCCTGTCTCTCGGCGCACCGATCTTTAGAATCAGCTTCTGCTTCCAAAGCACGTTCCTCCAAACGTCGTGACAATTCTTTCCCTTTGTAATATTTGGCATCGTCACGATCATCGTCATAATCCTCTAAGAATTCCTTTAATCGTTTGGCCTCGCGTTCTCTCGCATCTTTCTTACCCCGACGTTTCTCAGCTTCCTTTTCGTATTCCTTTTGTTTACGACGTTCTCGTGTCTCCCATGCTCTCAAACGTTCCTGATAAGCTGCTTCTTTTTCACGAGCTCTCCTTTCATTTTTCTTCCTTTCCTTAGCTTCCTCCTCTTCCTCCCTTTCTCTCATTATTTCTCTTTCAGTTTTTCTTGCTTCTTCCCTTTCCCTTTCTCTTTCTCTTTCCCTGTCTCTTTCCCTTTCCCTATCTCTTTCCCTTTCTCTCTCTCTTTCTCTTTCACGATCGCGATCCCTCTCACGATCCCTTTCACGGTCTCTTTCGCGATCCCTATCTCTGTCCCTATCTCTTTCGTTCCTTTGTCGATCCCTTTCACGTTCTTTAGACCTTCAAAAAGAACAATATTTTTATTACAACTTTGATACACATACATTATTATACAGAATAATCTCTACTATACGTTCATTTTTTCCTACACAAGTTTCTTAGTGTGACCTAATGCCAGTTACGTTCAGTTATTTTCACTGCAAATATTCAGATTCTACAACTGTTACGAAGAACATACTGCAATTCTAGTTTTATTCCCATTTATGCATAGTAAATCTTTTTATAAAAACACATATAATATTTTTATTGTATACTAATTATATGCATTTCAAAAACTTGGTAATCTCGCTATATTGTATACATATTATGTTAATATTAGAATGATTATTACTGAGCATCTAAATCATATTAAATGCATAATCTATTAATTTACAAAATTCATACATATTTAATCGATGTTAATTTTGTATGAAGTCTAATCTTCTTATAAGAAACATTGCCATTAATTCATGACAACATAACATTATTCGTATTCAGCTAACTTAAAAAGATTTGTATATGTGCATTGTTAGATATTTTCTTACCTCGACTTAGAACGACGTTTATCCCTTCTACTGCTACCTGTACTACTACTTCGTCCTTTATGAGATATAGGACTACTACCAGGTTCGCCTTCTTGATCATCCTTGCTAGCTCCATCGTCGTCTCTCCTATCTCTACGTTCTTTTTCACGTTTCTCTCGTTCCTCCTTTTCTACGGCTTCTTTTTTCCTTTTAACTTGGGCCTTCTCCTCTTCCTGCTTCTATAAAACACAAGAATGCGAGAGAGATGAGATCGGATAGTGTTAATACAAGATTGTCGGATTGATGTATAATAATAATAATAATAATAATAATAATAATAATAATAATAATAATAATAATAATAATAATAATAATAATAATAA